CCCTGACCTTGCACTGTCATCCTCTGTTATGGCCCTGTAATGGCCCCAGAATACCCTGGCCCTGTTCCTAGTTGTACCCCAGCTATGACCCCTGCCCTGCTTTTTGCTATGCCTTGTACTATCCTAGCCCTGCCCTGTTTTGGAACTGGCCCTAACCAGGCCTTGCACTGCCCTCTCCCTGCTTTTGCTTCTTGCTGGTTCTGGTTCTGCCTTGATCTTGCCCTCCTCTGGACCCTCCATGTTTCTGCTTTCTCCTTGGCTCTGCATCTGCTGTGGCCCTGGCCCCAGCCTAGACATGGCCACAGTGGCTTAGAGCCTGACCTTACATTGCTTCTGGCCTGGGTCTGACCTTGCACCTTGCACAATCCTAGTTCTACCCTGGTCCTGACCTCACTCACCCTGCTTCTGGTCTTGCCACTCTGACCTGGCCATAGCCCTGACCTTGACCACTGGCTCGTGCTCCTATCCCTGGTCCTGCCATGGTGCCGACCCTATCATGGTCCTGCCCCAGTCTTGTCCTAGACCTGGCCATGGCACTAACCCTGTCCTGGTCCTGACCTGCTAAAGGCCTTATCATGACACTGGCCTGGCCCTGGCCCTGATTTGCCTGAGCCCTAACCCAGTACACGCTCTTCTGGCCCTCGCCCTGACTCTGGTCCTATCACTGTCTGTACATAGCCCTGTTGCTGGTCCTGCCATGTCCCTGACTCTGGCCCTGAGGATCTTTCTTTGCCTTGTTCCTGAAATTGCCCTTTTTCCTAGTCCTGGTCCCAGCACTGGCCCTGCCTCAGCACTTCTCTGGTTCTGGTCCAAACCCCAGCCCTGCAATGGACTTGCCCTACCTTTATCCTGTGTGACCCCGGTCTTGTCCTGCCCTGTCCCGGTGGTGACTTGGCCTTGCCATGGTCTGGTCCTCCCATTGCCCTGCCTATCCCTTCCCTGGTTGTGCCCTGGACCTGTCCTGATCCTGACCCCTCCCTGTTCATGTCTTCGATCTGACCCTGGCTCAGCTATGGACCTTCCCATATCCTTCCTCAGCCCTTGCACACGGAGCTGTCATTCAGCCCTGGTACTACCTGGTCCTTCCTTGGGACTTTCCCTGCCCCATGGTCTGGTTCTGGTACTTCCCTGCCTTGCCCTGAGCTGGCCCTGGACCTATGATATTCCTGGCCCTGGCCCTGGCCCTGACCCTGGTCCTATCCTTATCCTGTCCCTGATCTGCATGACCCTGTCCCTGCAAGCTCTGACCTTCCCCTTCCCCTGAAATTGTCCTGCGCTTCCTGGCTCTGTCTTGGCTCTGGCCCTGCCTTCTTATCAGACTTGCCCTCACCCTGCTCTGGGATGACAACCCCAGGCCTACTCTGTCCATGGTATAGTCTGGCCCTGCACTGCCCTCCTCTGCCCTGGCCCTGCCATGCCCAGAGCCCAGTGTTTTCCCTGGCCCTACTCCTAGTCCTCCCCTGCCATGGTCCTCCCCTGCATTTGGCCAGGCCGTATGCTACCTTGGTCCTGCTTTGCTCTGGTCCTACCCTTAACCATACTTTGCCCTGGACCTGCCTTTGTCATTTCCTGGTTCTGCACTGGCTCTATCCATGCTCTAGACCTTTCCTGAACCTGGACTTGGACTGGCCCTGTCCTTGATGCAGCCATGCCCTGTCACTGAATCTATCTTATGGCTGACTTGGTCCTGGTCTATCTTGGTCCCATCTTGTCCCTGGACCTTCCCTGGTTATGGTATGGCACTGATCCTGCCTTGTTCAAGCCATGGACCTGACCATGCCCTGGCGATGGCATGGCTTTGCCCTTCACTGGCCCTGTCTTAAACCTGTGCTCTCCTAGTCCTGTGTTAGCTTTGACCTTGCCCTGGCCCTACTCTGGTCTGCTGTGGCCCTCCCTTCCCTTTGTCTTGCCCTGGCCCTGACTCTGGTTCTCACATAGCCCTGTCCTTACCTTAGCTCCTCCGTGGCCCTACCTTTTCCTTGGCCCTTCAGTGACCTTGCCCTTGTCCTGGCTCCTTTCTGGCCCTGTCTTGTTGTGGGCCCTGCTGGGTCCATGTTCTCAGCATGGCCTTCTGTGACCACACTCTGACATCCTCTTGCTGCATTCTTGCTCTACACTGGCCCTATCCTGCCTTTGCTCTGTACTACCCTATCCCTGCCCTGCCTTGTATTGGTCCTGAACCTGCCCTGGCCTAAGCCCTGGCCGTGCTATGTTCCTGGCTCTTTCTGGTTCTGCCCTGTTTCTACTCAGCCCTGGCCCTCATCTTTGTCCTTTCATGTCCCTGGCTCTTACCCTGCCCCTGAATTTTTCCTGGCCATGACCCAACCCTCTTCCTACCCTGGGTCTTGCCCTGCCCTGGTCCTATCCAAGCTCTGCTCCTGCCCTAGCACAGTCCTGACTGGGCAATGCCATTTTCCTTGCCCTGCACTGCCAATACGAGGGTGCTAACCCAGCTCTGGTTCTGTCATGGCCCTCACGTGGCCATGGTCCTGATCTTACCCATTCCTCCAGCCATCCTCCTGTCATTCTCTATCCTGGCCCTGTACTGGCCACACCATACCCTGGCCCAGTGTTTGCCCTTGCCCTGATCCTCATCCTTCCCCTACTATGGTCCTACCCTGCATTTGGCCAGGCTGTGCTACTTTAGTCCTACTCTGCCCTAGCCCTACCCTACCTTGGCCCTACCTTTGGTTTCTCCTGGTCCTGGTTCTGCTCTGGATCGGCTCTTGCCCTGTACCCTAACTGGTCCTGCCCTGATCTGGCCCTGTCCCTCACCCAACCTTGACCTGTCCCTAAACTGGCCCTGGCAACGTACACGCCCTGCAATTACTGTGCCTTGACACTAGACCCACCCTCCTATGTCTGCTTTAACCCTGGCCCCTCCTTGGCTCTGCATTTACCTGCCCTGCCCATAGCAATGTGCTGATGCTGCCCATGCCATTGAATTGACCCTGACCTGGCCCTGTCATTCTGTGGTTCTGTCCTGGCACTAGCCCTGCCTTAGTCCTGTGCTATTTTAGTCCTAACTTGTCCCTAACCTTGCCCTAGCCCTACCCTGGCTTGATGTGTCCCTCCCTACTCTGGTCTTCCTCAGTCCTGGCCCTGCCTTTGGCCTCCTCTGACTCAGGTTCTGAACTGGCCATTCTTGCCTTCAACCCTCCCTGGCTTGCTTTTTCTCTGGCACTTCTTTGGCCTTTTCCTTACCCTTGGCCTTCCCTGTCCCTGCCTCTACTCTGACCCCTATCTGCCCTGCCCTTTCCTTGTCCCTGTACTACACTGGCCCTAGCAGGCCCTACCCCTTACCTGGACCTGGGCCGGCCATGCCTTCACTGTGACCCTGCCTTTTGTCCTGACCTATGACCCCAGGCTTGCCAGTGCTCATGATCCTTGTCCTGTTCTAGCTGTGACCTGTACTTGGACATGCCATGGGCCTGATTTGTCCCATCCTTGCCTTGGCCCTTCCCTGCCCTGTCTCCACCACATCCTTGCCTGCTCTGCTCTCTCCCAAGACTGACCTGGCCATACCATGGTCCAGTAGTGTCATTGCCCTGGCCTATCCTACCATGGTTGTGCCCTGGACCTCATCCCTGCTGGACCTGTCCTCACCCTACCTTGACTTTTTCTCTACTCTGTATGGACTGGCTCTGGATCTGCCCTACCATAGTCCTTCCCTGTCCCTGCCATATCCCTGACCATAACCCTGCTCTTATCCAGGCCTGACCCTGACCCTTCCTGGTCCATGCCAAGGACCTGGTCCTGCTCTGTACTGGTATAGCCCTTGTCTTGACCCACCCTTCCCTGCTGTGCCCTGACTGTGTCTTCACCCTGCCCTAGCTCTGCCCTTGACCTACTTTTAGACCCTGACCTGGCCCTACCTTGGCCCTTAACCTAGCTTTGACTAGGCCCCACACGGGACCTGGCCCTAGCCCAGACCTGGTCCTACACTTTGGCTTGCAATAACCCTGAATCTGCCGTGGTCCTGTACTGGACTTGGAGGTATCCTGGTCCTGAATTGACCTGGACCAGCCTTGGCTTGTCCCTACTTTGGCCCTACCATCGTCTTTCCCTGTTCTGCCCTGTCTTGGCACTGAAATGACACTGCAACATCCCAGTTGTACCAATGCCCTGACCTACCCTGCCTTGCCTGTGCGTGGCCCTGGTCCCACACTTGATTTTCACTGTCCTTTCCTCAGCCCTGGCCCTACCTTAGCACTGTCCCTGCCTTCTCTATGAACCAGCTCTGGCCATGCCCTGCCATGACCCTACCTTGTCACAGTCCTGGCCCTTCCCCCACCCTGGTCCTGATCCTTAACCTACTCAGGCCCTTCCTTAGACTTGCCCCTCTGTTGGCAATAACCTACATCCTGGTCCTGGTCCTGCCCTGCTTGAGGTCTTACCCTGGTTCTTCCCTGGTCCTGATCCTGTCTGACCCTGAAATGTCTGGCATTACCCTGGCCTTGCACTGCTCTGGGCCTGACTCTGGCACTGTTACTGCCCTAGCCGCAGCCCAGTTGCTGGTGATGCTATGGTCCTGACCCTGTCCCCAGACCCTGGCCATGCCATGAACCAGCCCTATCCTTGCCCCTGTCCTGTCCCTACTCTGGCCATTCCCTGTCCTTTCCTTGGTCTTGGTACCATCCTGGTCCTGCCTCTGCCTTGGCCCTACCCTAGGTTTGACCCTACCCTGGCCATCACTCAAGAGTTGGCTGGGCCCTGTCATGGACCTGACCACAGCACAGACCCAGCACTTTGGGATGCTGATGCAGACGGATCACTTGAGGTCACAAATTCATGACCAGCCTGATCAATGCTGTGAAACTCTATCTTTACTGAAAATGCACCTGTAATCCCAGCTACTCAGGAGGCTAGCACAAGAAAACTGCTTGAACCCGGGAGGCAGAGGTTGCAGTGAGCCCAGATTTTAACGGGCAAAATAGTTCCAGGTTTCTAAAGCTGAGTGTTCTGAGCAGTAAGCTTTGAATCCTGAAAAATTTACTTACCAGAACATTCTTCAGTGATGTCCAAGAAGTGAGGTGTGTCTGCTCTGCAGAGATGAGTCAGGAGTAGTCAAGAAGCAGGTGGCTTGTCAACTCTGCCACACCAGAAATGATGCTCAGCAGGGCTTAGCAACAGCAGTCTCCCCTCTGAACCCAAAAGGTAAAGTCTAGGAGGAAACAAGAGGGGACTTAGCCATGTTACAGAGGAACTCCTGAGGTTGGGAGGCCCCACAGGAAGGAAAATGCCAGGGAGACAGAAGCTTCTGACCAGTGTTCTCAAGTGGATTGTAATTAAAAAGTAGCTTTGGCAGCCAGCTCATGAGAGATGGGGTGACACAGCTGCCTGGCAGTTCTGGAGTTAAGCCCAGCCCTGGAGAAGCTGAAGTCCAGGGTGCCACCTGCATCTGCATGGCTGGAATCAACTCCATCACTTATTCTCCTCTTCCCTCCAAACTGTCACTGTAAGATCCTGCTCTGCCACTTACTAGCTGTGTGACCTTAGGCAAGTTACTTAATGTTTCTGCGCCTCTGTAAATGGCAGCTAATATTGTTGTTTATTGTTATCAAAAATGGTTACATTTTTATAGGGTCACACATGGCCATTATCAGTTAGAACTGGGAAAGGCAAACATTTCTTCTGATGCATTAGATGATAAATATTTAGACACTGTAAGCCAACCAGCATTACATATATACATGTATATAGTTCATACATACACAGCTACAAGTACTCAGACATGGGCTCTTTCGCCAATGGCAATGACTTTCTGGCCAAGACTGGATTGATCAGTGGTCCTTCTCATTGAAGTGTCAAAGGCTGCTGCCTTCTCTGTCCTGTCATTACACAACACTGAGTGAGCCCACTCTGGTCCCACTCCTGAAACCTCAGGACCGGGATCAGGAAGTGAGAGGCCAGGGGCCTCTCTTGCCCTGAAGTTCTAGCTACAGCCCCAGCTCTGGGCTCACCCAGGGGTCGTGTTTGTGCACTCCCAGGCCAGTGTGGGTTACATTGTGCCCCCCTGCTTAGAACACCCAGGGATGCCGAAATGAACCAAATGTGTCAGTGGCCAGAGAGAAAGGCAACAGCTAGTGTGGCCACTCGCTGGGGACTCCCCTGCATCCCTGGGCCAGTGTGGATAGAATGATAGAAAGATAAGAAACCTGAATAGACCAGTTATGGGTAATGCAATTTACATAGTAATGAAAAGTCTCCTGTCAAAGAAAAACACAAGAATCATGGTTTTACTGATTTCAATGAAACATTTTTAAAAGAGCTAATACCAATTTTATTAAATATTTCCCCAAAAATGAAGAGGAAGGAATATGTCAAAACTTGTTTTATGACGCCAGCACTATTCTGGTACAAAAATCAGACCAAAACAAGACACAAAAAAGAAAAAGGCAAATAAACCTGATGAACACAGATACAAAAAATCCTCAACAAAATACATGAAAACTGCATTTGACAAGACAATAAAAGGATCATCTGCCATGATGAAGTGCGATTCATCTGAGAAACAGGAGGATGATTCAATAAACACAGATACATAAATATGCTACATCACATTCAGCAAATCAAAAAAACCATATAATCATTTCAGTAGATGCTGAAAAACGTAAAATTCAACAGTCCTTCATAATAAAAATTCAAAAAGCTATTTCACTGCTGCTGCCACCAACAAAAGATACCTAGGGATAACCGAAAGTTGGAAGATCCCACAACAAAAGCTATAAATCAGATGAAAGTATTAAAGCAGGCACATGTAAATGGAATATATCCCATGTCCAAGTTGAAGAATGTTAAAATATACATTACCCAGTGAGATCTACAGAATCAATGCAATCCACATGAAATTACAAAAGGTATTCTTCATAGAAATAGAAAAAAAAGCATCCTAAAATTCACAGACATCCAAAATACTTCAGATAGACAAAAGAATCATGAATATAAAGAAAAAAGCTAGAAGCATCAAAATACGTGATTTCAAAATATATTACAAATCTATAGTAACAAATACAGCATAATACTGGCCAAAAAAGGTGCAAGTGAGAGACAGAGAGAGACAGACAGACATAGAAGAATGACAGACAGACATACACAAATGAAACAGAATAGAGAACTCAGAAATAAATTAATGCCTTTACAGGAAACTCATTTTTAACAAAGGCACCAAGAACACACCTTCGGAAAAGACAATCTCTTCAATAAACTGCTAAGAAAACACAACACCCACATGTACAGAATAAATCTAGAACGTTATCTTACCAAATACAAAAACCTACTCAAAATAAAGTTTAATGTAGGACCTGAAACTATGAAACTACTAGAGAAGAAAACATCTTAAATGCTTCATGAAATTCGTTAGGACAAGGGATTTTCAAATAGACATCAAAAGCACAAGCAACAAAAGCAAAAAGAACAAAATGCAATTACATTCAAATTAGAAACTTCTGTGAAGTAGAGGAAGCAATCAGAAGAATGCGGAAACAATCCAGAATATGGAAGTATCTGCAAACTATGCCTCAGGAAAGGGGTTAATACACAAAACAAAGAACTCAAACTACTGAGTTTGAGTTCCTAATACCTACTGTCCTTCTAGTATTTGCTGTATGTGAAGCTGCAGTAGGCATAGCCCTACTAGTCACAATTTCCAACACATACGGCCTAAGCCGTGTGCAGAACTTAAACTACAGGTGCACACCACCACGCCTGGCTAATTGTTAAATGTATTGTAGAGGTGGGATCTCACTATGTTACGCAGGCTGGTCTCAACCTCCTGGGCTCAAGCAATCCTCCCTTAGCCTTCCAAAGAGCTGAGATTACAGATGTGAGCCATTTCACCATTTCACTAATCTTTAGACTAATTAAATTCATTTCCAAAAAATACATGTTTATTATAAAAACAAATTAGGCAATGTGGAAAGATGTAAAACCAAAATCTTTTTCCTTCTCTCTTCATCTTATGCCCTGGGTGTGAACTCTGCTAATATTTGGTTTGTCTTTCTCACATCCTCTATCTCTTATATAGCTGGGATAATATGTGAGGGTTCACCAATTATGGTTTCCCCATCCCACACTCCCTTTTCTCTGGATTCCTCCTCCAATTACCATTTGGGGGAATAGATGCAAGATATCCATTGTTTAGGGAAGCTGTCACAGTGGAATCAGTGAAGAAATATGCCAAATTCTTGAGTTTTAAGACAAGAGTTCTCAACTCAGACATAAGATCCAAAAATTGAACAAATAGTATATTGGCTCAATCAGTTTTTTTTCACACTCTTTCCAACCCCAGACTGAGTTGAGGGAAGAGGTGAAATGGGGCGGAAGTAATGATAAAAGCAGTCATGGTCTCCAAGAAGGGATATCCCTGTATCCTACTTAGGGGTTAGATGTAAAGAAGTATGAGAGACTATTATTGAATTCTCCAGATAAAGTTTGGGGATGCAGGTGCAGAAGCGGCAGTGACACACTTCCACCTGGAGGTCTGGGGAGCAGACACCTCTCCCTGAGACTGAGATATAAAGTATATCCCCAAGCCTAGGAGCCAGGCTAAGGAAAAGAACAATTCTTAATTAACTAAGCTTAAATGTAAAATGCCTGAATTTACCAAGAAATGACCATGACTAATTTTCTGCCACTATGAGAATTGGAGATTCCAAAGAAAGGTAAAATTGTATAATGGAACAATAAGAAAAGTTATATTCTGTACACCCTAAAAATAATTTAAAATATAAAAATATTATCCCCAAAATTGGGATATCATACTACTACCAGCAACATAACTTTTAATCTGAATCAACACAGCCACCCATAGCTTATTTATTAGCCTCTTTGCACTATTACGCTTTTGCCAACCCAACAACCCACGCAGCCTCTCACTGACTTTCCTTTCAGACCCATTAACATCCCCTCTTCTAATTTTAACAGCTGATTACTACCCCTTATAATTCTAGCTACTCAACATCACGTAGCCACTGATTCTTTCCCACAAATAGCTCTATATTTCCACACTAATTCTTCTACAATTTTTTCTAATTATAGCATTCACAGCCACAGACCTAATTATATTTATATCTATTTGAAGCTACATTAATCCCCATTCTAATCATCACTACCCGCTGAGGGTATCAGCCAGAATGTCTTAATGGAAGCTCATATTTCTTATTTCATATACTAGGGGATCCCTCTCCTTACTTATTACATTCCTATATATCCAAAACATCTCATCACTAAATATACTAAACAATAACAAATATAACCCAAGAATTATTATGTTCTTAATAACACCACATTGTTGTCATATATGATGGCTTCCATAGTCAAAATATGTCTATACAGACTTCACCCATGACTTCCCAAAGGCCATGTAGAAGCCCCTATTGCTGGCTCAATAGTACTTGTGGCAGTATTACTAAAATTAGGGGGCTATAGCAAAATACAAATCACCCCGAACCCTCTTTATCCCTGCATTGTCCCTGGACCTTCCCTGGCTACAGTACGGAGCTGACCCTGCTCTGTTTATGCCATAGACCTGACCCTGATCTGGCCCTTGCCATACCTGTGGTTCGAACCTGGCAATGTCCGGCTCTACCCTTCCCAGGACCTGCCTTTGCCTTGTCCTAGTCCTGCCTCAGCCATGGCCTTTTCCCTGGCCCTCCCCACCCGTTGCCTTCACCTTTCCATGGCCCTGCCTTTTTCTTGGCCATTCTCTGCCCTTGCCCTTGTCATGGCCCCTTTCTGGCCCTGACTTGTTGTGGGTCCTCTCCTGTCCATTTCCCAACCCTGCCCTGCCCTGCCATCCCTGGGCACTGTCTTTGCTTTATACTGATTTTGCCTTCTCTTGGCTCTGCACTACCCTAGTTCTGCCCTGACCTGGCCCCCAGTTCATCCTGACCTTATCCTGTGCCAAGCCCTGGTACTGCCACGTTCCTGCCTTGGCCTTGATTCTGCACTGCTTTTGGCCCTAATCTTGGTCCTATCATGTCCCTGGCTGTGACCCTGTCCCTGGTTTTTCCCTGACCATGACCCACCCAGGTCCTGCCCTAGCACAGCCAACTGGGCACTGTACTCCCTAGTGCCCTGCCCTACAATTCCCATGCCAGTGTGCTGCTCTAACCCTAATACTGTTTGGGCCCTGACTTGCCCATGGTCCTCGCCCTGCCATAGCCCTGACTCTAACTTGGCCTGGTCCTGCCCTTTCATTCATTCATGCCTGTCATTCTTACTTTGCTTCTGGCCCTGCCCTGGCCACTACCTGCCCTAGCCTTTCCTTGTCTCTCTCTGGCCCTGCCATTTCCTGGTTCTGCCTGGGCCCTGCCCTTCTCTGACCTTACCTTGGTCCTGTGCTATCCTAGTCTTGCCTCAACCCTGACATTGCCCTTAGCCTATCCTAGCCTGACATGGGCCTCCGTACACTGGCCATATCCAGCCCTGGTCTTACACTACCCTGGCTGTAATTCTGACCTGGCCCTGCCCTTGTCTTAGCCCCTCCCTGACACTGCCTTGCTGTGGGCCCTGCTGTCCATGTACCAGCCCTGGGTATCTCTGTCGCTGCCCTGCCATACCCTGACACTGTCCTCACCCTACACTGTCTGCCTTGCTTTGCTTCTGTGCTACCTTAGCCCTGGCTTGCCTAGGCCCTGAGCTTGTCTAACCTTACCTTTTCTCAAGGTCTGACCCTGCCATGTCCCCGGCATTGCTCTGGTTTTTCCCCATGTCTTGACCTCTCCTGGCCCCATCGTGTCCCTAGCTATGACCCTGCCCTTGTTTATTCCCTAGCCAGCCCCAGTTTACCCTCGTCCAGTCCTGACTAGGCATTGCTGTACCCACTTCCCTGGCCCTACCCTATCCTTGTCTTGGCCATGTGCTACCCTGTACCTTCCCTGGACTTTGTGCTTGCCCTGGTTTGATTCTGGCCCTGCTGCTCCTGCTGACTCTGGTCCTGTCATGGCACCCAGCCTGCCAGTGGTCACTGTCCTGGTCCTGTTCTGGCCCTGACCTGGACGTGGACATGTCCTGAGCCTGATTTGTCCCAGCCATTCCTGGACCTGTCTCTGCCCTAGTCTATCAGGTCCCTGCATATACTGCCCTTTCCTGGCACTGCCATGGCCCAGTCATGGCATTACCCAGTCTTACCCTACACTGGTTGTGCCCTGTTTCTGGCCTGCCCTAGCCCCTTCCTGGATTTGCCCTGACCCTGACTTGGCTTTTGCCCTGCCCTCTCTATGGTCAGGCTCTAGCCCTGTCTTGCCCTTCCCTGCAATGGTGCTACTCTGTCCTTACCTTATCCAGATCCTGAGCCTGCCCTGGTCTGGACCCTGGCCCTTCCCTCACCCTACACTGACCCTTCATCGGCCCTCTCTGCATTGGCCTGACCCTGGCCCTGAGTGTGCCTTCTCCCTGGCCTTGCCTTGGCTCTACTCTGTCATCCTCTAACCTGGGCCTGTATTTGCCCCACCATACCCTGGCCCTGTTCCTAGGCCTGCCCCTGCTATGACCATGCCCTGCTTTTGGCAATACCCTGTGCTACCTTACTACTGCTCTGCCCAGGCCCTATCCTGCCCTGACCCAACTCTGACTGGGCACTGCACTACTCTGGCCCTGCCCTGCCAAACCCCCATCCATGTCCAGGACCTGCTCTGGCCCTGTCTCTGGTCCTACCATGGCTCTGACCCTGCCACCAGTCCTGCCATAGCCCTGACCCTGACTTGTCCCTGTCCTACCCTGGCCTTTCTTTGGCCCTGTGCTACACTGGCCCAGCCCCAGCATGCACTGCCTCTTCCCTGGACCTGGGCTGGCCGTGCCTTCATCTGACCCTGATTTTTGTCCCAACCTTGGTCCTGACATGACCCCAGGCTGTCAGAGGTCATAGTCCTGGTCCTGTTCTGACCATGACCTAGACTTGGACATGTCATGTGCCTGATGGGTCCTGTCATTGCCATGGCCCATCCCTGCCCTGTCCCCCACCATGGCCTTGCCTGCTCTGCTCTCTCCCAGGACTGACCTGGCCCTGCATTAGCCTAGTCATGTAATTTTCCTGGCCTACCCTTCCCTGGTTATGTCAGGCCTGGTCCCTCCCTATACCTGCCCTAACCCGCCTTGGCTTTTCTCTACCCTCTCTATGGACTTCCTCTGGGACCTGCCCCACCATGGTTCTGCCCCGTCATTGCCATATCCCTGACCCTATCACTGCCCTTATCCTGACCTTGACCCTTCCCTGGTCTCTGGTCCTTCCAAGGACCTGTCATGACTCTGCCAAGGCCCTAGGCCTGGTTGTACTAGTATAGCCCTTGTCTTAAAAACCGCCCTTCCCTGACATGTCCTGTCTCTGTCCTCAGCCCCCAGACCCTGCCATTGTCCCTTAACCTAGCCTTAACTAGGCCCTGCTCTGGACCTGACCTAGTCCTATACTTTGGCCTGGTATTACCCTGGACCTGCCCTGTCATGAACTGGACTTGGAGGTATCCAGGCACTGAAGTGACCCTGGTTCAGCCTTGGATTGTCCCTGTCCCGGCTCTACCATCATCCTGCCCTGTTCTGCCCTGTCTTGGCACTGAAATGGCCCTGCAACAGCCAAGTTATGCCAATGCCTGCCCTACACTTTCCTGGCTCTTCCCTGGTCCTGGTCCTCCCCGATATGCCTTGACCCTTCTCAGCCCTGGTACTAGCTGGCACTAGCCTGGCTCTACCTTGACATGGTCCTGTCCCTGTCTATGAACCAGCTCTGTCCCTGCTGCACCATGACCCTGCTCTGTCACAGCCCTGGCCCTGGCCCTTATCCTGCTCAGGTCCTTCCCTAGCCTTGCCCCTCTGTTATGGCCCTGACCTGACCGTAACCTAGACCCATCCCTGGCCTTTCCCTGCTTAAGGCATTACTGGTTCTGTACTGGTCCTGATCCTGTCCTGACCCTGAAATGCTGGAATTACCCTGGTCTTGCACTACTCTGGCCCTGACCCTGGCTGTCACTGTCCTAGACCGAGCCCTGTTGCCAGTGCTGCTATGGCCCTGATCATTTCCCTGGACTCTGCCATGCCATGAAGCTGCACTGTCCTTACCCTTGTTCTGGCACTGCCCTGGCCATTCTCTGTCCTTTCCCTTGCCTTGGCATCACCCTGGCCCTGCTCTGCCTGCCTTGTCTCTGTCTAGGCCACACCCTAGGTTTGACCCTGCCCTGGCTGTCACCCCTAGACTTGGTTGGGTCCTGTCTTGGACCTGGCCATAGCACAGACCCAGCAATTTGGGAAGATGAGGCAGGTGGATCACCTGAGCTCAGGAGTTCAAGACCAGCCTGACCAACATGGTGAAACTCTGTCTTTACAGGAAAATGTAAAACTTAGCTGGGTGTGTGGTGGCAGGCACCTGTAATCCCAGCTACTCAGGAGGCTAGCACAAGAAAATTGCCTGAAGCCGGGAGGCAGAGGTTTGCAGTGAGCTGAGATTGTGCCACTGCACTCCAGCCTTGGCAGTAAGAGTAAGACTCCATCTTTTACAAAAAAAAAAAGAAAGATTTAATGTGCAAAATAATTCCAAAATTTCTAAAGTTGAGTGTTCTGAGCACTAAGCTTTGATTCCTGAGAAAACGTACTTACCAGAACATTCTTCAGTGATGCCCAAAAAAGTGAGGTGTGTCTGCTCTGCAGAGATGAGTCAGGAGTAGTGAAGAAGCAGGTGGCTTGTCAACTCTGCCCACCAGAAACGACGCTCAGCAGGGTTTAGCAACCAGTAGTCTCCCCTGTGAACCCACAAGGTAAAGTCTAGGAGGAAACCAGAAAGGAGTTAGCCAAGTTACAAACAAGAACGGCTGAGGTTGGGCGGCCCCACGGGAAGGAAAATGCCAGAAACATAGAAGCTCTGGTCACAGGTTCTCATGAGGATTTTTATTAAAAAAGAAAAGCTTTGGCAGCCATCCCAGAGCAACCTCAAGAGGAGATATTGGGGTCACAGAGCTGCCTGGCAGTTTTGGAGTTATGCACAGACCTGGAGAAGCTGAAGTCCAGGGGGCCACCTGCATCTGCATGGCAGTAATCAAGTCTATCACTTATTTCTCCTCTCCCTCCAAACTGTCACTGCAAGATCCCACTATGCCACTTACTAGCTGTGTGACCTTAGGCAAGTTACTAAACATTTCTGAGCCTCAGTAAACGTAGCTACATATGTTTACTGTTATTAAAAGTGGTTAAATCTTTACAGGGTCATGCACAACCATAAGCAGTAGCACTGGGAGAGGCAAACAATTCTTATGACACATTAGATGGTAAATATTTTAGACACCGTAAAGCCAAAC